AAACAAAAAAAAAAAAAAAAAAAAAAAAAAAGAAGAAGAAGAAGGTAGTGTTTATAACAGTCTAAGCTCACTGTTAGCAGATATTGTCCGCTTTAACCTATTATGTATAGCTGTTAGCTTCACAGGTTTAAAACGCATCGGCTAGGAAAATGTTTTCATACCCTTATAAAAAATGTTTCATTCTTCTCTCCAACCGATGTGGGATTTCAGTGTTCTTGTAGGTAGACAACTAGACATTAATAAAGACAATTTCTATACTCATATTCGTTTGATGATTGATCTATTGCTATTTAATACTTCACTTGAATCACGAGCATTATATTGATAGGTATCATAAAGAACTCAACACGAATGATGACTTTTCCGGTCAAAATGTTTAGGTTACACTATAGGATGTGAAAATTGTTGAGATGCGGCCAAACTGCTCTTGTCACTCATTAGGAGTGAATAACTCTAAATGAAAATTAGTTTGAAATCATATTTTTGTTCTTATATATAGGTTTATATTTAGACTAGGTTGAAATCTAAATACTATTTGTTCTTTTCATATTGTTTAGAATATTAATATGAGGTCTACTATTCATAATGTTTAAACATTTATTTTGTTTTTTTATATTACAACGGGTCAAGCGTAAATCTCTGAACTAATTTTTTTAGGTCAAGCCGTATGCATGATGATACATTTAAACCTCTAACCTGTTGGTCGAAGATACATAATTTATGTTAGTTGAATTATGCTCATATTGGACCTTCAAACTAATTGAACACTCAGTGGATAAAACGTTCATTGTCATCTTAAAAGTTAATAGTTCGATTCCTCACCCCACCATTGTTCAACTAAAAATACAATTGTAAAAGAACTCTAAGATTTAGAGGTAGGGCTTATGTTTGATACATAAATTTGCTCATCCAAGGCTATAACTTCGTTTATCTTACTAACCATATCATTCCATACCATAGAAACTTAGAACTGATAGAGGTTTTGCATCTTCATAGACAAGCAACAAAACATACCATCTTTTATTGCGTTAACTTAGTGTAAACTTTCTCGACCCTTTTATACCAATAGCTTTATCGACCCTCAAGGAAAACTCGAGGAGTTCCCTCAATCAATGAAATGGTTTCTATTTCCTAGAAAAAAAGATACAAAATCGTTGGACGTATTAAAAACTATGAGCCAAACATCATAGGCGTATTTTGCTTTATTTTGCAACTTCCATGTATGAGTCAATAGCTCCATCTCAAACTCAACCATCTGGAAAATTGGGATACAATTTATAGAAGATGGGTTGGGGAGGAAATGAATAGTTTCATTATACAAGAGGCAAAAGAATAAGCAGAAACTGTACCAAGTATAGCATGAACCAGCAGAAGATGCACTGCTTTCCAACAGCTACTTCTGGTTTGCCCTCCTAACCCAAGACTGTAAGTTCTCAGATATTCTACATTCTATTTTCATCTCAACAATAGAAGTAGCGTCACGGCCGAGAATGTTAATGAGAAAATGTGGTTAGCCAAAAGTCCTCGAGCTCGGAAACTCTGTTCACATAAGCAAGTATGACGTGTATGCATATCGTTAAAGACGGTGTTTAGTACAAACTAAGATCAAGGTAGGATTAGAATACAATAGCTTTCGACTTCCATAAGTAACGATATTATCTTAACCAAGTTTCAACAAACGTAACATGTTTCATATGGTGGGATGAATTACATACCTTGAGAGATAAATAAGATGAGTCTGAAGAAGACGATTTAAGTCCATGAAATCCAACATCATATGATATGCTCCCATCAGCTTTGAAGAGTCCAAAATTCCTCTCAGAAGTCGGCCCCTGTTTCAAATTTTCGTTAAACGTTGCAAAAACGTAGGCCTTCAATACATTCCTTGGCCTGTAGGGAGTCCCTTTCTTCTTAGCAAGCCTCTTCCGTAAGTTGTAATTAAATATCTTCGCATTACTCACCGTTGCTGCAGCCTCGTTTTCGTCCCCACGGGAAGCCCAACCAGTCTCAGTAACTATGACTTCCATTTTCTGATATCCAGCATCTGCTAATGCAGCATATGCAGCGTCGATCTGAGCATCAAGCATGTTGTCATAATGTAGATCAGTTTTGGGATCAATAATACCCTTAGTTGATTCAAAAAGTGCATAGTTGATATCAATATTCTCAGGGTCACTCATATAGGCTAGGAAGGGATAAGCGTTTAAACAGAAAGGTGAGCCAATCTCTGCAAGAAACTCCAGCAAAGGCCTCATGTACTGAACTACATTTTCTCTAAATATACATGAAGAAGGCGGAAACGAGTTTGAAAAAACAGCCTGAGAATGCGCGGTTGTGATTTGAACAACACCATCTAAGTTAAGGCTCTTTACTGCCTTATAGATATTCTTTGCAGCACCCAAGAGTGCTCCCCACAGCTCAAGATCACCTCCTCCTAGAACTTCATTACCAATGGCAATCCCACAAATGTGAGTCTCAGGAAGGAATGCTTGAACATTTTCTTTGACCCAGTTCATCGCGTGTTCCTCGCTCGCACTCGTTTCTTTCAAGAACCCATTTGGGAGACCAACCTCTAATTCAAGCCCTGTCCCACTAAACGCCTTCAGGACATTGTGATCAGCATCATAAATCCTAACGTTCTTTATTTTTGCTGCTTTGAGAAGTGAAACAACTTCATCAGGTGAAGGAATGTTATCAGCAATCCTTCCATAATTTATTCCATAAGTTCCAGTAAATGCTTGTACTGTCATTGTCGAGGAGGCTGGAGAAAGACAAGGAGATGTTTTACTACGTAAAAATCCAAGCCTACCGCTAACAGATATTGTCTTTTTTAGGCTTTCCATCAAGGTTTTAAAACACGTCTACTAGAGAGAGGTTTTCACACCCTTATAAGGAATGCTTTGTGCTCGTCTCCAATCAATGTGAGATCTCACAATCCACCCTCTTTAGGGGTCCAACGTCCTCACTAGCACACCGCCTGATGTCTGGCTTTGATACCATTTGTAAAAACCCAAGTCCATTGTTAGCAGATATTGTCATCTTTGAACTTTCCCTTCTAGGAAGACGTGTCTACTAAAAAGAGGTTTCCACATCCTTATAAGGAATACTTTGTTCTCCTCTCCAACTAATGTGGGATCTCACAATTCACTCCCATTGGGGGCCAGCGTTCTCGTTGGCACACCACTTGATGTCTAGCTCTGATATGATTTGTAACAGCCCAAACCTACCGCTAGCAAATATTGTCCTCTTTGGACTTTCCCTTCTAGGCTTCCCCTCTTTTAAAACGTGTCTATGAAGAGGTTTTCCCACCCTTATAAGAAATGTTTCATTCTCCTCTCCAACCAACATGAACTCTCACATACAACAACTTCCTCGAGTGGACGACTTAACAAGAAACAACAGAGTTTTAAAAACATGCATCAAAATTTACTCTCAGTTCTCAACAAAAATCTTCAAGAATGACTGAAAGAAGCACGAAATAGAACTTAAAAGAAACAATCAAAACTAACCCAGTAGAAAACTCCATCAAATAAAAAAAATGATGCAGGCACGAAGTCCACAACAGTCTGAAAACTTGCAAGACAGAAGCATAAGATGAAGAATGAACTGACCTTACTGACTAAATCATGCAAAAAGAAGAGGAAAATCCATGAAAACTTCTGAATACAAGTCAAATGGAAGCAATCTTTGGACCCAAAATCCAAAACCAAAAACTCAGAGCCATCTGATTACTAAACAGGAAGAACTAGAAAACAGAAAGAGAAAATGTTACAATACCAATGGCAGAGAAGACGATCCAGAAACCAGGAAGCGATTGAACACAGAGCCAGAAGCATTTCCTGGCCATTGATCGAAGAGATATGGAAATGGGAATTTGATCGGACGGCTTAAAAACCAGGCAGAACCAGCAGATTTCTTTCAAAACGTCCCACAGTTTCTGCTAACCATTCCAATGAAATGGAATGAGGAGGAAGAAGACGACCCAACAGAATTAGCACATATAGACGAAGACCCTTTTCTCTGATTTGTCCAAAACCTTATGGAAACTGTTTGGCAGAGGAAAATTTTCATGAGAGAGAGAGAGAGAGAGTGAAGATGTCGTTTTCTTGGTGAGTAATAATAAGGGGTTTTGATTGGAGGGTTCTTGTCTGTTACAAAATTCAGTCCAAATTTCATTCTTCTAAAATCCTAACGACAAATCCATAGATCACCCATTTGGTTTTGATCCATAAACAAAAAAATTCATCCGGTACAATTTGATGAGTTTTAGGCGAGCATAATGTACACATTGCATCAACCCTAAAGCTCACTTAACATGCATAACCTTGCTTTAAGTTGTGTGGTTGAATAATGACTATACATTTTTATCGTGAGTTCAACATAAGTTGTCTGGATTCAGCACTTGATGGCCCGACATTCTCCTGCATCCCCTGCAACATGATCACGTTACTTACTTCTCGTTCCAAGCCACTAAAAAGTTACTTACTTCTCGTTTCAAGCCACTAGAAAAGAAGGTGCACATTATAAGTCTAGGTAATGATTTTCCGTTGTTTAAGTCTTTCTTAATCATCCTATTCTCAAAATCGCTCTCATTTAAATGTAGTCTTGATTCATTCATGTGCCAGATCTTTTAGTTGAGAATACTTACTTTATACCAGACGAGCTATATTTACTTTGACAGTTATTTATCTATTTACTACACGAGCATGTTCATTTTCGCACATAGACTTTATAAATGTGTGTTCTTTACACGAGTCAAATTGTATCAATAATTTGCTATTGTAGGTGTGAATGGTTGGACGAGTCTGGAAAAGCTATGTACTTTAAAATAAAAAGGAAAGGGAAGATGGATCAATTGGGAAACATTTTTCTAATTAAAAACAATTTTATAAACTTTTCTTTGTCAATATTAGCCCATTGAACAATTTTATAATTGCTAAATAACTTTTTTTTTAATTATTCTAAATATAATTAAAACTTTAATTCCATTGAAGATAATATAAAGTGAAGTTTATCATGATTCAAAATGCTTGTTTCACCTAAAGAAAGCTATAAGATAATATGAAAGCAAATTAAATATACCTAATTCTTTTTTGCTCGTATATCATCAACTAAGAGGTCAAACGTTCAGGTATCTTACAACTCGTTTTCCATTTCAACTACTCTCTTTGTATGCATCATTGCGGATCAATCTATTGAAATACTGGGTACTCAACTATCATTAGAAATTTTCGTCGCGGTTGAGTATTCACCACAAAGACCGTAGAGTGTATACGAACTCATTCCAATAGAAAAATCAAATTCAATGAAGATTTGGTTCATCTCACACGTACACATCATTGTCATCCTGCTTTTATTTATGTTATATAGACCTGTATTTAGCTATTGTGTGAGAACTCACATCGGTTGGAGACGAGAACGAAACATATCTTATAAGGGTGTGGAAACCTCTCCCTAGCAAATGCATTATAAAATCGTGAGATTGATGGCGATATGTAACGGGCTAAAATGAGCAATATCTGCTAGCGGTGAGCTTGAGTCATTACATATAGAGAATGAGGATATTATACAAATGTCGCTGCTCCACCCAAAAGTTTACTTTACATCCAAAATGATCAATATGTAGAATCAGAACAAGTGATTGCTGAGGTTTGCACGAAAAAGTACACTTGATCATTGAAATAATTCCATAAAATATTATACCCTCCTCGAGTTGAATCGTTCACTATCTTTCTTTCGAATTTACGAACGATATAAAATGGTCTAAAAGGCATTAGAAAGTGTCAAAATTGCACCACCTGACTGTAAAGGTTTGAAATGAGAGGTGGCATTGAAGCAGTTAGATCAGCTCTGCATCAAAAAACAAAAGCACCAACCAAAAGAACCTTTTATTTGAGCTGCCAACAACAATGGTGCACCTACTTAAAGGGAATCTCTCCTTTTCCTTACACTTTTGGTCCGGAGTTCATTATTATTACTATTTGTTCCGAGAACGACACGTTTCTAAGTTGATATGATATTGTGCATTTTGAGTGTAAACCCTCGTGTAACAACCCTTTCAGACTTATTTTCAAGGTTTTAAAGAATGTTTTGTTCCCCTCCCGATATGGGATCTCACAATCCACCCTTCTTGGGGGCCTAGTGTCCTCGCTGACACACCACCCAATGTCTGGCTCTGATACCATTTGTAATAACTCAAACTCTACAATAACTCAAACTCACCGCTGGTAAATATTGTCCTATTTGGACTTTCCATTTCGGGCTTCTCCTCAAGGTTCTAAAAATACATCTGCTATTGATATAGTAACCCTAGCTAGTTGAATTTAAGAACCCTTCTAAACACTTTTGATATGCAACCTTTAGTTCATGCTAAAACCCCATGCTAAAGCTACTCACGTTGGTTTAACTCAGGACTTTGTTATTTGGAATCACCATAGATGGCCTCATTCAGTGAGACTTGGATCGCACTCGTGATAACTTTATAGAGGATATGCTTGATTTTGATCAAGAACCGAGTTACTTTTATAGAAGATATGTTAGATTTTGATCAAGAAATGGTCATCTTTTTCCTTCCAACAAGTGGTTTTCTTTCGTGCTACCAACTAGGAACATATACTTTAACTTTCTTTAAAAGTCTCTATCTTGTCGAGAATTTTGATTAAGCAAATGTGAGGTTGTAGCGTAGAATCTATTTTTCACTTAAAAAAATTTCTATACGGGATTATAAAGTTACAACTCGAAAGATGCATATTTATAGAAGGGAACAAAAAATAAAGTCTAAGACGTAATAGGATATATAGATTCTCTGAGTAGATGGAAAGAAACTCTATGATGCGTAGGTGTTTAAATTGAAGTAGGTTTTGTTTTAGTAATTGTTAAGGTTAAATTTACGGACATCAAAGTAAGAGATAGCGTATTCGAACCCTTGTAATGTCGTTTCACCTTAAACTACAACCATAAAGAACCAAAATGAAGAAGTGAAAGATACCTAACAAACCTTACAAAAAAGAATAAAAGAACTACAAAACGAGTTTACACAAAGAAATCGTGCAAAAATAGGTTCGAGAATAAGGACTACACTACCCTATCTCCAAAGGGCAACTTCAACCTTTCAAAAACGATTATCCTATTTCTTTTTTAAGAGCATCGTACCAAAAATCTCTTCAGTGTTCGTAGATTGAGTTGGGTTGGATTGATACATTGTTTAGACTCAATTCAATTGCTCAGTTGTAGTTTTTTTTTTTTTCACCCAAACAACTCTTATTAAATAATGAACTCAATCGACTATTATTTTTTTGGGTGGGTTGTTTCACGTTATTTAGATCATTTATTTAAATTTTTATTTTTATAAAAGTAAAAGATATTTGTTTTCAAACATTTAGTTAAAATTTGCTAACTCATTTTCAATATATATTTTGAAAAATTACTTTCTCATCGTATATTTAAACCCAACTCAACTCAAATAAGTTTATAGCCCAACCCAAATCGTATGGATTGAATTGGGTGGATCGAATTTTTTGGATCATCGAAATTTTTGAACACCCTACTTTTTCTAACTCAAACTCATGTGTATCATGAATGGAGGCTTATGTTTAAGGTGAACAATATCAAACTACTTTAACACAGAGATGTTAGAGCTAGCTTTTGTTGTCGTCGTATAATCAAACTTATTCAATATGACTACTACTAGTGTAAGTCTAAAAAAGACAATATCTGTAATATCAAAGTTAGACACCGAGCAATGAGTACTAGCAAAGACGCTAGACTCCAAGGAAGGATTGTGAGTGCAAGCGAGGACCGTAGGCCATATTAATTGGAGATAGAAAGGAAATAATGATTGGAAATCTCAATCAATACATTTTAAAATTGTGGAGAAGCCCCCCAAAAAAAAAAAAATAATAATAATAATAATAAATAGATGAACCCAAAGCCCTTGGGAGGAAAATGGATGGACAAGACGACAGAATCCACCAATCTTATCCCCCAAAAATTCCAAGCACCCAATGCCTCTGATTTTGCCCAGGAAAAAAGTCCCAAGAGAATAACGCAAAAGAGGAGAAACAAACACACACAGAGATGGCAACGTCCTTCCTATCAACAGCAAACACGTTCCATTCTTCCTCACCTTCTTCTTCTTCTTCTTCTTCCTCTTCCTCTTCTTCACCTCCATTGTTGAGATCAAGATTTTCTTGCCTTAATTGCCGTAATAACGCTAGAAGATCGGTAATCTGCAAGGGAAATAATGACCCACCATCGAAAATTCCGAGTTTAACCAAGAGAAGCCTCTCAATCTGCTTCATTTCCAGTTTCATTTTCCCTCTGGTGGGTCAAGGATTCTCCGATGCAAATGCTGCGATTCTTGAAGCCGATGATGATGAAGAGCTTCTGGAAAAGGTGAAGAAGGATAGAAAGAAGAGGCTGGAAAGACAAGGGGTTATCAGCTCCGCCAATAAAGAAAAAGGTTTTGTATGCACTCTATGTGTTTGTGTTTAGTTCTCTGTGAAACTTCCAACTTCAGAATTTGATCCTATTACTCAAAACGTTTTGGTTTTCCAATTGGGTTCTTTCTGTGGTCTTATTTTATTTGAATTAACTACTATGCTCATTCATAACCATTTTATCAATATTCTTAGCATAACTTTAAGGGGTATTTGACTCATTGATTGTGTTTGTATAGCCTAGAGTTCGTAAGCCAAGCATATGTTTGTAATGTGGGCTTCTTATGTCTTGGCTATAGGTTTGCTAATCCTATGAGTTACATAAATCCAAGTTCTTCAAGCTATGTATTTACTTTTGCAAAACTACAAACCCACAAGTCAAAACTCACCCATATAAATTTAGGTTTCCATAACTCAATCCTTTTTAGAATAATCCATGTAACGGTTGAAGTCCACCACTAGCAGATATTATCCTCTTTGAGCTTTTACTTCTAGGCTTCCCCTCGAAGTTTTTAAAGTATGTCTACTATGGAGAGGTTTTCACATCTTTATACAGAATGCTTCGTTTTCCTCTCCAACCGATGTGGGATCTCACAATCTACTCCCTTCAAGGCCCAACGTCCTTGCTGGCACACCGCCTTGTGTACACCCCCCTTTGGGGCTCAGCCTCCTCGTTGGCACATCGCCCGGTGTCTGGTTTTGATACCATTTGTAACGGTCCAAGCTCACGACTAGAAGATATTGTCCTCTTTGGGCTTCTCCTCAAAGTTTTTAAAGCGCATTTGCTAGAGAGAGGTTTTCACACCCTTATAAAGAATGATTCGTTCTCCTCCCCAACCAATGTGGGATCTCACAATCCACCCCCGTTCGGGGATTAGCGTCCTTGTTGGCACATCCCCTCATGTCCACCCCCCTGCACATCATCCGATGTTTAGCTCTGATACCATTTGTAACGATTCAAGCCCACCACTAGCAGATATTGTCCGCTTTGGACTTTCCCTTCCGGGCTTCCCCTCAAGGTTTTTCAAACGCATCTTAGGAAGAAGTTTCCACACCCTTATAAAGAATGCTTCATTCTCCTCCTCAACCGATGTGGCATCTCACAATCCAAATGTTGGCATCTCACAATCCAAATGCAGGCTATAACGCTTTTCAACCTCATTTGAAGCAAAGCTATACTTAATAAAACATAGAGTCTGGTCTAGGCTTTTGAAATTATGAGGCTTAATTCTTCATGGGAGGGGATCATAGAGTTTATCATAAGCTAGCAGAGTTGAGCTATGAGAAAGGGCCTCTACAACAAGCTGAAACCTTGCCATAATCATTCGGAATTTTGCAGGATACCTCCAGGAAGTTGTGTTTAAGCTAAGCAAAGTTGGTCAAGCCATTGATAACAATGACTTCTCAACCGCAAGTTCAGTTCTTGGGGGTAGTAATGACGCAGATTGGGTTCGGAATGCCAACTTAGCCTTCAACAAGGTTAGCAAAATAGATTGAACATTTCATGAGAAGTTAAATAGTTCGAGGAATTTCTAACTTTTTTGTGTAATTTCTTGAGCAGCTGAGCACAAGTCCTGAAGAGAAATCTGAAGTGGACGCATTTAACTCCTCTCTAGCTTCATTAATCTCATCAGGTGGTTAAAACAGGGTAAAACTACTAAGAACTGAAAGGTTTAACCCTCCACAGAGTTCTAAACGATATAACATTTTTGAATTGCAGTGACTCAGAATGATGTCCAATCCTCTAAAACTGCCTTTGTAGCATCGGCCAGTGCACTTGAGAAATGGACCGCCTTGGCAGGGCTTGTTGGACAGCTGAAGGGGCTTTGAGTGGAAAACAACCATCTCTACTGATCTCATTTCTACTGTATTTTTAGTCTCCTCACCTCCTAAATCATTGCAGTTTAAGGTCAAGAAGCTGATTTTTCTTGTCATCTTCTTACTGAGTTTCTGGTGTCAATGTTACTGAACTTTGAATGGGGTTAATATGAATGTTATTGTTGGTTTATCCAAGAAAACCTACACATTTGTTTATGAACAAAGCAGAGTATCAGTTCAGTTAGGATTCCCCAAAACACTGGCAAAATGGTGATTGACAAGAATTAGGAGTTCAAGAACATCCTACAGATTTTTTTTTTTCTAGTTGTTCATGGAGCTCTTGATGGTATGAATCTTCTTGGATTGCTAGGTAATTTCACCATTCTAGTAAAAACGGATGGTATGGATTTGGAGTTTTTTGAATTTGGGCTGTTACAAATGGTATTAGACCCAGACATTGGATGGTGTGTTAGCGAGAATGTTGGGTCCACAAGGGAGGTGGATCGTGAGATCTTACATCGATTGGAGAGGGAAACAAAACATTCATGATGTGTGAAAACCTCTCTCTAGCAGACGCGTTTTAAAACTGTGAGACTCACGGCGATATGTAACGGATTAAAGCGAACAATATCTACTAATAGTGAAATTAGTCTGTTACAAATAGTATTAGAGATAACACTGAGTGGTGTGCCGGTGAGGACACTGAATCCACAAGGGGGTGGTGGTGTGCCAGTGAGGACACTAAGCCCACAAGGGGGTGGACTGTGAGATTCTACATTAGTTGGATTGGAGAGGGGAACAAAACATTCTTTATGTGCAGAAACCTCTCCCTAACAAGCACATTTTAAAATTGTGAGGCTAACGACGATACATAACGGCTAACGGGCTAAAGTTGATTAAAAAATGAACGGATATAAGAGGCATACAAAAAGACAACCTACCAATCAGTTAAAGGGGCTCCAAAAGGATCAAACAGAAGGATCCTTACAACTTTAGTACAACTAAACCATATGAATCAAACAAGGATTCAACTAAATCAGTATGGATAGAACTCTACCTTACAAAGGTTTACAATACAAGATGATCATAGTACAAGCATATTACACCTAAATGTTACAGAGGTCATTACAAGCTACAATCTTATTCAGTACAAATGAACAACAAGCGATGGAACATAATAAGCCTAATCTACTGCTTGTATGGATGGATGGATGTTTCTGTCAATAATTAAATTACTACAATTAACCACATCTGAATTACAGACCTACCCAGCAATCTGAATCTGTTGGAAAGACAAATGAAGGAGCCATAACCAGAAACGTGATATCATCTTCAAGGCTTTACCTCACCAGCATCATTCCTGTGGCTGCCATTTTCAGTGGCTTCTATGCTCTTGTTTGTCTCAGTATGTTTCTCATTCTTCTCTTCAGTTGCAGCTGCTTTGTCATTGATTTCTCCTTCTAGTTCAATATCCTGTTCATAAGGTTTTTGATTCTCTTGTTCCTTTTCTTGTCTATCAGATAGAAGAGTGTCAGGTTTGACAGTTTCACCCAAATTACTATCATTCTTCTCCTCAACTTGTGGTTGCTCGATCTTTTCATCATGCTTTGCTCCTTCCAGATTCTCATTGAGGTTTAGTTTCGAGCTTTCGGGTTCCTTCTCATTGAGGTTTCTTTCCAATTTTTCTTGTTCAGATTCACTAGTTATCTTATGTTCTTGTTTTTCAGCATCATTATCTGCATTCAACTGGTCATCAGGTTTCGGTGGCTCTGCTTCGGCAGCTTCATCTTTCGTTTCCTTCTTGTCTTGATTTTCCTTCTTATCAGCATCCTTTATATCAGCATCATTATCTGCATTCAACTGGTCGTCGGGCTTTGGTGGATCTGCTTCGGCAGCTTCATCTTCCGTTTTGTTCTTATCATCATCCTTTACCTCAGCATCAGCTATGCTCTCATGTTTTCCAGCATCTTGGTTGTCAACTTCTTTCTTCTCCTCCAGAACTTCTGCTGGTTCAGTTTCTATTTCTTTAAGACCTTTCTTGGACACCGAAGTTCTTTTTCTCTTTGGGTGCTCACTCTCCATTGGTGAAATCACTTTAGCCTTTTCACTTATCCTTGCTGACCTCCTCGGCGTCTCACCCGTGCCCCAATCAAATTCAGCTGATGCCGGGCAACCAGGGTGTGACTTCAGGTACTGATCCAACTTTCTTTTGTTGCTGAACTCCTCGCCTGTCGGAGTTATGAAGATGACCTCATATTTCTTAGGGGAATTACCTTGCTTAGGGAAGAACTGCCAAATATTCATACCGTTCAATCAGTTGCAACCAATAAACCAGCAACCCACATACACAAACACATATATATTGTTATCAATATAAGATATTAGAAGTTAAATAATTGTGTAAATATAATGGTTAAGGTGGACCTCATAGGTAGGTTAGTACTTGATAATATAGATTTATATGCTCTCCATTGAAAGAGTGAGTGAAGGACAATCAATAAAGTAAATGTTCGGAAATCAATGAAGTCAACATAAAATCACTAGCTGCTGTTCTTCCTTTTTGAAGAGTAAGAACTTGTATTGGATTTTAGTATACCTAGCAGTAAATTCTCCTGCACGGATTTAGCTTTTCAAAGTTGGAGATTTAGATAAGGACATGAGGATTTATCCAAGGGTAAGGGAAGGAAATCACCACATTTATAATATGTTGTAGAGAAAAGACTACCACCATGCTTTTGTTCACACCCTGAACCAAGACTCTTGTTCCTATGCCTAATTGGTAGCCAGTTGTGAAGAAAGATCCAACACTAAAGGTGTTCTCTCTCGGATTAGCTTCTGGCAAGAGTTACCTTTCATCGGACCAAAACAGATTTATAGCTACAACCAACCTTTGGTGATTAAACCAATTTCGGATTCCGCATAGGCATTCTTGACATCATATCATCACCTTCCACACAACTCTCACCTTTCCAAGTTCCAAGTTCCAACTTCTCCGTCGTCAAGTCATTTGACAAGTATCATTCAACTCAAAGTAACCAACCGTCATGATCTATTACATTAAATATGCATTCCACCAACTCATGAATTCAAGCTTTTCGTATTGATCCCATTTGACTCTCTCGGACTATTCCAATTGACCCATCATTCATCCTAGGAGATTACACCCCCATCGGCTCTCGGTGCGTGTTTCTCTTTCCATCGGTGCTTGAGCATTCCTCTTTTTTTCCTTAAAAAGAGTTCCCATAAGTACATCATAGTCTCTATACTTCCCCGTTGATCATGAAATTTCCCTTAAACCCGCATCATCTCTAGCTCTAGTGATTTCGGCCCTCAGTTCACCATTTTCTCCATTGCTCTAGTCAAGATTTCATGTTTGAATTTGATTTCAATTTTGAACTAGTCTTGAACCATCATGATAAAGGCATTTATTGTTTCTAGAAGAATATGTAAGGTAAGAGTACAAAAGAGAAGGCTGGTCCAAAGATCGTTCATGTAGTAACACACTCAAACTGGCTTCCCTCCATCTTCCCAAATATATTTAGTTATCAATCAATTCCTAATTTATGCCCTTGACCAACTATAACATACTTCCAAATCCTGTTGCTGAAATTCACTCCCCGTCACCATGCCAATGTCTTCCTCTTTTTTCCACAAGTGTTAAAAGTCTTTCCAAAAGTACGAAACTTAATTGATCACATGGATAATTTGTTATTGTAACAGCCCAAGCCTACCGCTAGCAGATATTGTTCGCTTTGGCCCGTTACGTATCACCGTCACCCTCATGATTTTAAAACATGTTTATTAGGGAGAGGTTTTTCCACACCCTTATAAGAAATGCTTCGTTCTCCTTTCTAACCGATGTGAGATCTCACAATCCACCCCACTTAGGGGCCAACGTCCTCGCTGGCACACCGCTTGATATCTGGCTCTGATATCATTTGTAATAGCCCAAGCCCATCGCTAGCAGATATTATCCACTTTGGCCCGTTACGTATTGTTGTCAGCCTCACGATTTTAAAATGCGCATGTTAGGGAGAGGTTTCCACACCCTTATAAGAAATGTTTCGTTCTCCTCTCCAACTGATGCGGGATCTCACAGTTATGTGGATGATACTTATCAAAATGACAAGAAATTATCTATACCGACCATCAGAAAATATAGAGTTCTAACTACCTGATAAATCAATGGAATCTGGTTTAGTCACCGATACTACACAACAAATGTAACAACTAACAAAACTAATTAGTGAGCAATAAATGAAATGTATTAGGCGCTTATCACATCCAACCAAAGTGTTGAACATTCCACATCTCCCTCATAAATTTGCCATATTGATGTTCAAACTTCCTTCCTCGAGACAAACATCCTCCTAAAATCTCACTCTTTCCCTTTTTCTCGTCTTTAATCCATAATCCCTCTCAAATACTACTTCCTTCCATAATAGAAACCAACATCTGGAGCTGCCCAAAAGAGAAGCAATTTCATCTATATGCCAAACAATTGAGTTTGGTAATAGCAAGAAAAGAGATATACAGAAACAAATATAGACATCCAACATCTCAATATTATACTCAGACATTCCCTTGGACATATCCAATTTATTCCAATTCTGAAAATAAAATCCAACTTTAAATCTACACCTACAAGGCGGCTATATATGTGGGATCCGAGATAATTAATCCACTTCTTACTCAAATCATGTGTAAAATTGCTGTCATGAGTTTTGGCTTACATTCTATCTTAGGAACTCTTTGACCTATTAGATAATCTTTGGATCTACGCTTATTTTCAACTCTCTGAAACACTCTCAAAAACATTTTGTAGCATACTACGCCCTCCCTCATCTCTGGGTGCCTAGGTATCCTCCCTCGTCTCTGGGTGCTCCCTCGTCTCTAGGTGCCTAGGTATCCACCGTAAGCCTTTCTTTGTTTGAACCTCCCCCTTGTCATCCTAAGGTGGTGCTAAATGTAAGGATCTTATGGAATGAGTTTATGGAAGGGTAGTCAGTTAGATAACTAATAGTCAACTGAAGAGAGAATCTAAATTTGGGGGGTGGGAATCCTATCAAATGGATTTGTGGCTGGTATTCGATCCACAATATCAGCAACTGATTAGATACGAAATATGCACACATAAATATACACTTGTGGGGCGGGGGGAATCCATAAAAATTAGATAAAGAAATTATCAATATGAGCAAGGAAATGACCCATATGATATACAAGATCCCACCCCTCAGATGC